CCGGTCGTCTGCGCAGTAGGTGCGGATCGTGAAGCTCAAAGGAAAGCCGCGAAAGCTAGATGTTTTCTTGGCCCAAATTAAACAATCTAAAAATATTACATAATTCCATCCCTTATATAATTATTTACAAATTAACTAAATTGTTATATTTATTTAAATATATGCCTAAAAAACTAATTTCCTATTTTCATGGTAATTTCTCATCAACTCTCTCTCCTCTTTCCCCTCTCTCTTCTTCACACACAACTCTTTCTCTCTTTTTCTAAACAAAACCTTCCAAGGTTTGTTCCACCGCCACGCAACGAGTTGATGGCTTCATGCTTCATGGAAAAAATTGTTGACATTTATTTATATCACTACACGATAAATGGTGTTCTATTTATGCATTGATTAATTTGTGGTGCAACTAATTTTATTTTCTTCTAAAATTTCTATTGTCTTCTGTTAAAACTCAAAAGCTCCCCAATTTATTTTTCAATTCTTGTGATTGATCAACTTTTCGCTTCAAATCTTCTGATATGATAATTAATTTGTTTTTACTTCCGTTTCGACTAAATCAGTCGACTCCTTCGAAGCCCCTTCACACAAGTCCGCCACATCCTCCGATCCCTTTTCCGTCGCCGCATTCGCCTCCGCCTCGCCCAAGCACCGCCGTCTTGCGGGTGAAAACATCTGCGACGAGGCCCGAAGCCGCGCCTCATCACACGACTTCTCCGCTAAGAACGTCCCCTTCAACGCCGAATTTATGGACAAATTTAATACACAATATCTCGATACCTCTGTAACAAAAACTTCTCGGCTTCTCACCGCCCACCTTCACCATCTCCAGATCTGTAACAAAAAACTTCTGGGCTTCTCACCGCGCACCTTCACCATCTCTAGAGTATATGTCGAGTATATTTTTGGTATATGACGCGGCTTCTACCATTTCCAGAGTATATGTCGAGTATATTTCGGTATATACCGAAAAACTTCTCAGCTTCTCACCGCCCACGACTTTTTTTTTTTCGGTATATGTCGAATATATGTCCAGAGTATATGTCGAGCATATTTTCGGTATATGCCAAAAAACTTTTCGGCTTCTCACCGCCCACCTTCGCCATCTTCAGAGTATATGTCGAGTATATTATCGGTATATACCGAAAACTTCTCGGCTTCGACACCACACGACTTTTTTTTCCTCTCTGTTGCGCCTGAAGAACGTGTTTTTCAAATTTTATGGAAGCCGTGTTTATTTCTTTTCCTTGTTTATAATTGAAGATTATTTTTTCAAATTCAAATATGATTTCCTCCTATTATCACTCCTTGAAATCGTGCCCTATAAACATGGAATGTTTGTTCCATCAACTTGTAACTGATAATAGGCATAAATGATATTAGCTTTAGTGTATTAGGTATATCTACAATTAAATTGGTATTAATTGTATTGTTGCAATTACTTCCAAATCATGTAGCACCCATAAAATTTTTCCATTAATTAATTAATTAATTATGATTTTAAAATCTTTAATTTCTTTGCTTTTTCTAAATATTACGCCGTTACATTAGAAATCGTTTTTATTTGTATATTTACCGAAAAAAAAATCCAATTATAATAAACTATTTTTTTTTACTGTTTTTAATAATTTATTTGTTGTTTATTTTTAATTCGTGTGTTTTT